GGGGGCGGGCTACTGTACTCTCACCTGCTCCCACCAACAGCTGCTCACACACTGGGCTGTGGCTCTACCCTGCCACGATGGCTTGGCTGTTACCACCTCTACTGTTCCCCTTGGGCTGTGGCTCTACCTCAGAGGAGAGATGAGGTAGGGGGCAGTGTAGGCAGCTTGAGAGAAGCAGCTGGCAGTGGGAAGAGATGAGGGCAGTGTGGGCCCCCTGTCCAGTCTGTAACTTCTTGCACTGCTGGCTGTGTGGCTGGCACAGAGGTCTCAATGGCAGCAATGAGTCTTGCTGCCCTGCTCCACTCTCCTGTACTGGGTTCTGCCTGCTGGACCGCAGTGGCAGCTCCTGCTGAGCCGCACAGATGGCTCCTGCCCACGCTGGTCCAGCCAGGCTGCAGCCCCATGCCTGCTGTGGGCACACAAATCTTGGAAGGTATGTGCCCCCCCATACCCTCCTGCCCCATACATCCACCCCTTACCTCACACGCTGGGGAGCTGTATCCTGAAGGCAGGGGGCAGCAGGTCGGGAGTGAGGGGCACCAGCAGGCTGTTTTCTACTTTAATTATTTACTGGGTAGGGACTGGCCATCAATGTTTACAAATGGGTCCTGGTACAAAAAAGGTTGAGAACTGTTGGACTGGATGACCTCCTGAGATCTTTTCTAGCCTTATTTTTTCTAATACACAGTCCTGGAGGGTTCACCCTACCTCTGTGAGAGAAAAATAGTTGCATTTCTTTTTCATTCTAGTTCAGTTCCTGCTCCTTGGTAGATAAATTGCATGAGTAAACTAGCAGATCTTGTTCTGTATGCTTGTGTGTGTTGTATGTCCATTTTTTTTCCTTAATAAACACTTTAATTTCATTGTGCTTCTCCCAACAGAAGAGCGAGTTGTTCCCATCGAAGTCTGCCGTTCCAAACTGTCAAAATACTTGCAGGGAGTCGTTTTCCGCTGTGATAAGTGTACCTTCACCTGTTCCAGCGATGAGAGCTTGCAGCAGCATATAGAGAAGCACAATGAACTGAAACCTTACAAATGCCAACTCTGTTACTATGAGACCAAACACACAGAGGAGCTGGATGCTCACCTTCGAGATGAGCACAAAGTGAGTTCTCAGAGTTTTATTTGCAGCTATAGACCTCTGCGTATTTTCTTCAAATGGTGAAATTTAGTTTGTCACATGTATACACTGATGATTCAGAATCTGATTGGTCCCCACAGGCTGGAATTTACATTTTCTGAAATCCCATATTTTCAAAAATTATGGTTTTGAGGGTTTTTTCTTGAATTTTGGATACATCTTCTGGAATGTATCTACCTATGACTATACAGAATGATTACCTGAAAAGGAAATTCATATAAATACTTAGGTAAATATTGTTTGGATTTTTTGCTTTGATTTTTTGTTTGTTTGTTTTCTAAATTAAGTCATGAAGCAACATGAAGGCTGTTTGATCCAGCCTCATAGAAGTCAGGAGATTCCAGAAGTTAAGACTGCTTTGGCAACTACATCACATGCCATGCATATTTCAGTAACAAAGAGTGCCATACATTCCCATTTACATTTCACAAGGGAAAGATCCACAACAAATAGATCATGTGCACAGCATGCTAAGTTAGGGCTACTTTGGCAGCATCAGCTTTTGGAATTCTCTGAGTCTAGACCTGCTCCAAACCCATAGGAGTCGGTAGAAGCCTTTCCATGGGCTTCTCTTGGCTTTAGGGGGTGGGGAAAAGGTGAGTATCAACAGCTTCAGCCAAATTCATTTTGCTTTGAAATGTTACTCCACTACATTTTTTTAAATTCACACTGTGAACTGTAGTGCAATTTCATTTGCTCATGTTCGTCTATTAGCAGTTTGCATGCCTGCCTCCCCTTTTCATTACTGTTGCTTTATACTCTTCCTATGCTTCTCTACTCTAGTATTTTAGCTGGAACATAAAGATCTCCCATTTCCCCTGCTGGTTGCAGCTAAGGTCCCAGTTGCATGAAGAGAGGGAGAATTCCTAACCTGCTCCTGAATTCTTCAGGCTAGGAAGGTTTAACCCCATTCTGACTCTCACTGGAGATGTGTACTTCCCTCCTCTCCAGTAAGAGTCCTCAGCAGTTATCTTACTAGTTACTCTGTTTTTCTCTCTCCTAGCTTAAGTTTCTATGCATGATTTATGTACCTAGCAGTGCTTTTTAGTTCCAGCTGCTCCTGTTTCACTCTTGTGCTCATTGTAGTTTGCCTGTTGGAAACCACGTTGCTTAGTAAAAAATTCCCTGTTTTGAAATGACCTGCGCTTTAGATTAATTCCAATGCCCCTCCCTGCAAACAGCTAAAACAAGGTCAGACAAGGCCAGCGCTTCATTTAAAGTGCTACAAGAGGGATTCAGCCCTCTTTTAAGTCCATACTGGATTGGTTCCCTGGCATAATGCTCGTGCTGCTGGAACCACTGTCTTTTTGGATGAGATGCAAATCCAGTCCTGACTATTAGCCTGACTGAAAATCACAGGGCAGTTGTTAAACAGATGATATTAACCTCAGTGTCATGGCAGCATTCCACATTCTCCACCTGTGTCATAAACCTGACCTCTGCCATCTCCTCCTACTCTGTAGTTTGTGTTGGATGCAGTAGAGTTCTTCACTTGTGTGTACTGTTCCTGTGAGCTGCTAAATAGCTGATGAATTTTACCTAAGGGTTATCCACTGGGTGAAGTGTTCCCATTATAGTCTGTAAATCAGTTTGTTAAGCACTCTGCAACCTTCATAATGAAAATTAATCTGTTATTAATGAGTGTAAGGGAACATGCACAGGCAGCAGCCATGTGCTTAGTAAAAGACCCATCTCTTCACAAAAGAAATTGAATGAACCATTCCCAAAGGATATTTTTACACTGGTGTGGTGCTATGTTACTGCTATACTGCATCAATTTAGTGCTCCCCAGGCAAACATGAAGGGGCATAGAGTAATCCTGGGGGTAAAGAGTGCTATTTAATTTTGGGGGTTTTGTTGTTGTTCTTGTCATTGTTTTTAAAGTCATGTTCTTAATATCTGAAAGAATCTTTTTTGTTCTGTGTTCAGGTACCAAGATCTCTGCAAGGAGAAGCAGGGAGAAATGCAGTATAAACACTAAAGAAAACCAATTAGCTGCATTTCTAATTGTGTTTAAAGTGATTGGGTATTAATTTGACAGGGTGTGTTGCCAAGTTTTCATTGTCAGGCTTTACTCTGCCAGTAGAAGGTTTTTTTGGTAGATGGTAATGTTGTTAATGTTAATTGTTGATTAAATTTTTTCTTTTAAGGTGAGTCGTAATTTTGAGCTGGTTGGACGGGTTAACTTGGATCAGCTGGAACAAATGAAGGGGAAAACAGAGAGCTCCAGCAGTGATGAGGAAGAGAAGGAAGAGGAGATGAGCCCCAAAACTGAAGATAGAGGTCAGTCTTGCTTCCTTTTCCATGTCTCCTTTTTTTATGCTATAGACCTTCTATTCTAATCTAAGCACCCACCATCAAGCAAAATCTGCTATTGACTCAATGGCCCTTTTCTTCAGGCATGTTAGAGGCATGACAGTGGAAAGAGAATGAATTTTTTTGATGGGCCATTTCTACGGATGAAGTTTCCAGGATTACCTCAGAATTTTGCCCAAAAGGTTCTTTGGGAACACCAAGAAGTGTGTTGGGTGCTAAGAAAAACAAAATGATATGAGAGTGACATGTTGAGAGAAAAGCAGATTATATTTATAGTTGCATGTATGAGCAGTTGTTATGTAGCATGGCTGTCCATTCCATGACTTCCAGTTATGTGCTGATAACTCATTTGCAATTTTATTATGACATAGTAAACTTCTTAGGTTCAAAGTTAGGAGAGAAACTAATTTTGGAGCATCATTATTGATCTGTCTTGCTGTATTTTGGAGAGGAGGGGTGGGATTATGCATTTTCTGCCTTTTTAAGTTTCATTCTGTCTGGCAACTTGGGAGTGAGGGTAGGACCATATTCTGTCTTGGAAGGGCAGTACTTAGGGAGGCCCCAACTGAGTAACATACGAAAGCATGTCCCTAATTTTAAGCATGTGAATAGTTCAGATTACTTCAGTAAGACCATTCATGTGCTTGGGCACGTGCTTAAGTACATTGCTGAATCAGTGCCTGCGTCTGTTGTAAGTTTTAAATTACCAGGGCTATGTAGAACTAGTCTTAATAGCATACTCACTCTTAGGGGAAACTATTTATCAGACAAATAATAGCATCATTCTTGTTTTACAGCTACAGATCCTTATTCGGCCAACATTGGTTGGGTAGGGAGAAGAAAGGGAAAATCTGCTGCCTATCATACCATGGGGTTTTTTTTACCCTTCACTGTTCAAGTCAATTTACTGCACACCAATGCCCCTGAGAACTAAAGAACTCCATGTAATGCATAGTCCCACCATGCCATCCACCACACACAATAGAGCAAAGACACTTTTAGTCACTGCTAATTGGTTCACTTTGAACTGATGATGCACAGAAGTCTGGCTTTGGGTATCCCATTACCAAAACCCTGAGCCATTCAGTCCTGCAGTCTCTTCTGGCAGTTTACTGGCTTATACGCCATTAACTAGAAGATCACTATGATCTTTTTGTGGCCTCCCTCTCTCTCTTAACCTAAAGTCAGAGTTGTATTGGAAAGGGTTTTTCCCCAAAGAAAACAAAACATCTACTCAAGTTTTCTTTTTTTTCTAATTTATAAATTTGACAACTTGCTGATGACTCACAGGCAGCATGTAGAACAGAATGTGGACTTAGGCCATGCCTTTCTTCCTAGTGAAATCCCCGTGTGTTGGCCATTTGTTTAGCATCATTGCATCATAAGTACTTGGCGCTTTCCTTAGTGTATGCCTTGTGATGGCTTACACAGAGTTGTTATTTAATGAGAGGAGAGACATGCCAGACAGGAGACCACTTAACTCCCACTGAAAAATAGTGCCAGGAGATCTTTGCTGGTGGCCCTAGAAGAAGTGAACAGATGAACCAAAAGGGATATGTTTTGCATATATTCCATGCATACCAGTTTGAGATCTCTAAATGTACAGCCTCTACATAAAAGTGCACTTCTGTGTCCTTATAAGCAGTGTGCCATCTGATCAACAGTGGCATTTTGAACCTTGAAAATTCAGCGCTGAAAGAATCAGCCTATACTGCTTTTGCTAGAGGACCGGTTTCTTTAACTTGCAGCTGTAGCTGACTGATTAAAGCCTTGCATAGACCAACAGTAAGAAAGGAATGAAGAGGCATGTTCTCCTATGGATTGCATCAGTGCTGCGTAGGAGCCCAGGTGCTATTATGATGCTTGAAACCATGGTATTCAGGCCCAGAGGGAAGAGTGCTGCCAGCTGAGCCACTCAGAATCCCTCTACATTCTCTATGAAAAAAGAAAATATCCATAAAAATCAAATTTTTGTTTTCAAGATTCTTAAACCCCTTGACACTTATGAAATGTTAACACTCCTGGCTTCTGCATCAGGATTTTACTCAGCAGGGCTATCAAACCCCAATATACTTTCTTTGGACCGCCATTACAATACAGACGGTATCGTAACTATTTAATATTTTTTTCACTGGGAGCTGTATCATTACATCTGTGAGTATCTAAAGAAATCTATATTTAGTCGTTAAAATGGTGGGTCCAAAAATATGCTTCTTCCCTCCTCACTTCCTCACCTTTTCCAGGATCAAAACTGCCTTGGTACTCTGAAAGGAATTTGGGCAAACATTCCACAATCACCTACCTCCTCCCCTTTATGGAATAAGTTAAAATAGCATTTTAAAAGGCCAAGCTAAAATAATTTTTAATATGGGACTTATTGTCCCGTATCACTTAGGCAGTTAGGACAATTATAGACTCAATCACGTGCTGGAGAATGGACATCATGTAAGAGTCTTCTCTCATCTCAGTGCCAGGGATGAAATCCTGGCCCTGTTGGTATCGTCT